CTTATCATGCACCATTTTACCCAGTAAAATATCATGACAACAAGAGTTTTAGATTTTTCTGAGTGTAGTCAACACATTAAATGTTGACTATAACACCTTCTAGTTGATGAGAATCAGGCAATAGTATATTGGTGTCTCTATATAAGAAATACTAGTTTTGTGGAATAGTTTAAACTACTAAAATTGGGAAATTGTGTACTGGTAGCAGAATGTCTCCAGAATGAACAATATTGTCTTTATTTCAGTCAAAGAATACTGAGAGTAGCATAGGCAAATCTAAATCTCCCAGCCTAGCCTGTATATTGTCTATCTTATGAAAATGCATTAAGCAAATCTGCAATTAAACAATTGCAGGTTCACTTAATGCATGAGGGGAGGTCAATATATAACATCCACAAATTGGCAAAAATGTTTATTTAGAGAATTTATAAAATCATCTCACAATTCAAAACTCTGTAAAGTATACCAATTAAAAGAAAAAAGAAAAAATAGTTGAACCTGAATTTAGCAAATGCTCTTTCTCACAACAGAATGGGCTCATGTACCTGTCATGCCCCTGTTGGAGACTGACTCCAAGGTAGAGGAGGAACAGCCAACAGGGAGTGGAAGTGTGGCTCCGGAGGTTGTGGAAAAGGCTGTGGAAGGGCAGAGGTCGCTTGGCAGTCAGAGAAAGACCCAGGCCCATCCCCTCTTCATCCTAGGGCATGCAGGGAGGAATGGAGAAGGGAACAACGTGGCTTATGGGAGAGGAAGTGGCCATGATCCCCCTCATTGGCTGCAGTTGGGGGGAATAGTATATAGGAGGGGTGTCTAAAACACAGCGTTGCTAGAAGCAAAGTATGTTTTATTTCTGGCTGAGGTTTATCTTGGTTTGCATTCTTCCAACGGACTGTGCCTTGTTATTTTCTTGAAGTTTGTAATTAATTATCCTGGTCTATCATGAAAATTCCTTCAGTGAGGTTTGTTTTGGTTTTTTTTTATTTCTCCGTTATCTGTTCTTTGAGATGGACTGTAATTCTTTCTTTTGGAGACTATTTTGGAAAGAGTTTAATCTCCAACTGCGAATAATTGAACAATGGGGCCAAGTTGGAGGCATTAGAGGAAATTTATTTATGTTTGGAAATTTATTACATGTGTGCTGATTCCTGGGTCATCACACTACCATCTTGCTAAAGTGCATGAGAAAATAGACAGGTCTTGACTTCCAGTCTGACATCACTGCATGATCAGTTCAGGGGACTGGGGCTTCCATCCCCATATTGAATCCTTTTCATCAGAGGGGCCCCCAAGGGGCTAAAGTCACCCCATAGGGATGACTCATAAGGAGGTGCATCCTGCTGGTTGTGGAGAGCAGCGGCTCTCCTGCTGGACCCAGGGTTCCTTCCCTCTTTGCTGAAGATGAAGATTAGGCAGACAAAAGGGCTGCCATGAAACTGGGGCAGCTGAAGAAACTGTGCTGGAACAGTGAAAGTGGATAGTGATTGGAGCTCAGTGAGGTGATTTTCAACTTTTTCTAAGGATTTCTCTAAAAGAAAATTAATCCAGGAAAAGAAACTCTTTGGAATATCTTTAAGCGGAGATCAAAGAGTGACAGAGATAAATTGCACCCTAAAAACTATAGAGTATAGAAGACTGGATGTATAAATTTTACTGACAGGACTCTGAACGGGCGCTTTATAGTGCTGAACATCTGACTGTTTATTAGGTATTCTGTTGGAATTCTTGAAAGAAACAATTGGCAGAATAAAATCCAGGAAACAAGGAAGATAACTGTAAACTTAGAAGATGAGATAGAACAGATGACATAACAAATAGAACAAGGAGAAAAGAAGGAGAAGACTATAAAGTTGGGTGAAATAAAGTTGAGATAATATACTGTATATTAGGAGTTAGAGAAATGAAAATGAATAAATTGAAAGATATATTTGGAAAAAAGACAGGATTGGGCAGACCTATGGGTGGACTGGCAGCAAAACATAAGGGGGATGGAAATGATGGTTGGGCTGAATGTGAAAAATGTAGATAAGGACCCAAGGGAGGAGTATGGGGGGCAAGTCAAAAAGATTAGAAATGAAACTTCCAAGAAAATGAGAGATGATGGATAGGAAGGATTCTTATTAAAAAATAAGATTGGCTGTACTAAACAGTAGAATAGATTAAAAAATTAGAAATAGGGGAAATATTATTATACATATTTTTACATAACATATTTAAAGTGAATATTAGAGGATAAGATCAGATTTTGAAAAAGGATGTTAATCAGGTATGCTCAAAAATAATACTATTAACTATTAGAAGGATGTAGCAAATATTGAATAATTGAAAAATGAAGGATTATGTGCTGATATTGATATCTATAATAACACTAGATTACATAAGATTTGATTAATGTGGTAATTTTCACTTGTATTAATAGTACTTCTGTATCAAAATGAATGATACCGAGACCCTTACTCTCCATGAAATATATTGATGTATGTAAAAAAGTAAAAAAAAACTAGTCAGGTCTTAATGAGTCTACAAAAGAATAATAGTCTGGAGAAATCCAAATCTTGTTCCAATGCTAGAAGCAGAGACAAGGTATATTTTTAATGTTCTGTTGGATAGCACTGCTTCAAAAAAGGAACCTGGAGTGAGCTTATTTTCTGTGACCTCATGGGGCAAGCAGAAGTATGGGAGATAGGCAGTCTCACAAATAAGCCAAGCATGTGCCATGGAAGGCTTTTGTTGGGAAACGCCCAGCAAGCCAGGGAGAAAAGATCAAGTAGGGAATTAGCCTTGACTCATTGTGCAGCTGCAAGAGAATAACAGAATACCAGAGTTGTAAGGGACCTTGGAGGTCTTCTAGTCCAGGAGATCCAGGACTGACCCCACCCCACCCAAGCTACCTTATCGATTTGGAATGATATACTAAATCTGAATAAAGGTGGCTGGGTTTTTTGGAATGGAATTGATGAATACATGGAGGAAAGTAAAGATGAAGTTTTAACTGAAAATTAAAAAGTAATTTAATTGAATAGGCTAAAATATATATAAAAATATGAATTGGTGTCACATAGATTATTGTGTGTATAAAACTTGGAATGCATAATTTAATAATGTACTAATTAGCTTGGGACAGAGTAAAAAAATTTGTTATAAGGTACCATAGAAATATGTGGAGTGGTAGCAATGGAAAATATTTAAAAAGATGAATGGTGGAATTGTGATATGAAAGAAGATAGGAAAAAGTCAATATAGGAGAATTCTAACCACACAAAAAAAGAATAAAAGAAAGATACTGTATAATGTCTATAAAGAAAAAGTTAGTTGCAAAATTTGCAATTAAAAAAAAAAAAGTCCTTCAAGTTGAAGGATTCTAGAGAAATTTTTTACATTTTTTTGAAAGTGCTAAATAAGAGTCTCCAACAAAATGAATGAAATTAAACATAAAATGGTGAAATGATTTGGGACAAAATTGAAGTGAGGAAATGTTGGAACTTGGAAGGATTATTTAGAGATTTGTGTGGGAAAATTAGTGATATAGTAATAAGTGGAGCTGGATACTATAAATAGTATAAGAAAAAAAAGAGGATGAAAGGGAAGTCATAAATGTAATAAGAACATCAAAAGAAGGCTGCAGATGTAGATAGTGTAATTATAGAAATGTTACGATATGGATGTGGCAGACTGCTAATGGACTAAATGTGAGACTTGTTTAACATGTTTTTGAAATCTGTATTACTGACAGTTGAAAGATTGTTGATATTGTTTTCCTGTACAAAGAAGCAGATAGCAAATGCAAAAATTACAGGGAAATTGATAAGGGGAGTTAATTGTAAATGAATGAAACAGGAAAATAAACACAATTTGGGAAGTGCAGTTAGGATTTATGTCAAGCAGATCTGCTGATTACTTATTTACTTTTCAAAGCTCATTGAAAAATATATGAATGCACATTTATTGAATTAGGGGAATAGTGATTATGTAAGAAATAATGTTACACCTAAAATGAATAGTCTTGAGCTATGGTCAGAGGAAGTCCAAAAAATGTTGGTTGGATGTAGCTGATAAGATCCTAAAAAAAAAAAAAACAGAGACAAGAGTTTAAAGAACAAAAAAACTAGTATATGAAGTGTTATTTGGAGATGGTAGAAGCAAGCATGGTTGATGAAGACAACCAGTACAGAAGCTGCACTATAATTAATAGTCTTGGTCTAAATAACATTTATATATCTTTCCTTTTTCTTATAATGATTTTATTATTTATTTGTTTTGCTATTTCTTACTCCCTTTCTGCATTATGCACAGTGCAGTTTACCATGAAAAAGGTGTGGAACAATAGTAGTCATATGTACGTATACAAAATGTGTCTTTTAGTTTTAGACTATATGATAGTCTCTTGGAAGAATCCAAGACATCCCAGAATTCTGAGAATTTCCCAAACTAAGAGCAGAAGGAAAGGATGTTCTAAAAACCAAGTACTCAATTTAGTTCCTACAGAAACTTCTACAATGCTTGACTTACATATATTGCAGTTCCAACTTTTGGGGACAAAAAAGGATGGAGTCCCTTCTTTTCGTAATGTGTTGGTAAAATCCAGAACACTTCTGACATACCCAAATTCTGCCAGCTCTCAATGCCACTGCCAATGGCAGTGGCTATATACATTGCAAGTTTTTTTAAAAAGTGATTACCTAAATTTGCAGTGGCAAGTTTGACTTCCTCAGTTCCTCAGAAGCTCAGCACTTTCTACAATATAATGACTGATTAGGTTATTTTACCATTGCATTTCTGAAGCAAACAAGAAAAAATGCACTAAAACTGGATGCACTATTTTTGTGCATCCAGTTAGGAAAAATAATTTATTAATTATAACAATTCTTCTCGTATACATGACATATGCCTACAATTCCCAAAGATCTTCCTCAGCTTCCAGGAACAGCTTCTAGTAATGGTTAGTATTCTATACAAGAAGGCTTATAGACCTGATCCATAACAAGATCCAGTGAGGAATCTAGAATCCACCAGCAGCCTGCGGAGAGGGCAGCAGAGTTAGACAGTGGGGAGGAACATGGGCCAGTCCGGGAGTCTGGGGAGGAATCAGACGAGGGTTCTGCATCTGATACAGAGATGGGGCCAGGGCCATCTGGCAGTTATGTGATGACTCTGAAGCCTCCAGAATCTGACAGCAGTGAGGCAGAGGAACAGGGGGAACCTGTAACCAGTGTGTGTGCAGAGCTGCCAGAAGGCAAGAACAGTTAAGACAAAAGGGATGACTTAGGAGTAAGACTTGGAGGTGATTGGCCCTCCCATAAGACATAAAGGAGGAGCAAAGGGACATGAACCTTTGCAGGAAGCAACTTTGTTCATACTGGTCGGTTTGAAACCTGAAGCTCTGTGTTGAATTTGTGCTCCATTTGGTCTTGTACAACTAATTGGCAATTTAGTTGTTTGCAGCTTTTCAGGAAACTATTTACACACAGTTTGAAACTCATTATGGGCTGTGAATGATTATAATTCACAGCCGTTGAAATAAAACAAAAGGTTTTTGAGACTAACGTGTTTGTTAATGTCTCAGGAAGCCTTGGTCAGAACATATATGTGTGTGCATGCATATATATTTATTTATGTGTTTGTGTGTGTAAGTACCTCTCTGTGTGTATTATTAGACCATGTCATAATCATGTTGCATCATATGTGATATTGAAAACTGTGAGGTTCTGGGACATTGCATTAATTTGAAGTCAATGCATTTATTTCAAAAGATATAAGTAAAATTGAAACTTTCCCAGGAACTTTTACTACATTTATTTATTTATTAAATTTATATACTATCCTTCTCACTATCCAAGGTGACTCTTGACTACATGTCTAAAGTTTGTGATTGGCATCTTTATGTGAAAGTTTATATTTTGGTCAAAATTTCTGGTTTACTGCTCACATATATGCACTCTTAGTAGATACAGAAACTGACATTCTAAAGCCACTTTTTCCTCAGTGAGAATTCTGAAAAGACATGCATAGGATTTCATGTACATTAATCAGTAGCTTTTAGCCAATATATTGCCTATTTTTTTCTAAAATACTGAAGGAATTCATGAAGATACAAGATAGTTTCTTTCAAGCATTTATGAGATTAAAACGAAATAAAAGGACTCTTCTCTTCAATACAAGCACTACTTTATCTTTTACCATAAAAGCAAGTGAAATATAATAACTTGTGCTTTATTAGAAACTCTTATTCATTTAATCTGAATGCTAGGAAATGCATTGTAAGAGTGCAGATAGAATAAAAAATAACAGTTCCAATTTTGTAGTTTTATATATTGTATATTACATTGTGTATTTTATTCATTATATATTTTGATGAGAAGTGTAGGAAGAACAGTTAAAAAAATCATAAAAGGTTTGCATTTGTAAGGGGACTGACAATCAATTCAGTATTTTAAGGGTACTGTAGTATTATGACTCCAAGACAGCATTAATTAGATTCTTTTAATTTTATTAATTTTATTTTAAAATTTTAAGTTTTACTGATTAATACTGTATTCTATTTTTTGTTTCCAAGGTGAGGCTTCAGGCCTATCTTTATGCCCATATCAAATACCCTATGAAATATTAGAATATTTCATAGGGTATTTGATATGGGCATAAAGATAGGCCTGAGGATAACCTTGAATCTGGTTTTCCTGGTCATATTCCAAACCTTAACCACTATACCTTATGACTTTTTTTAATGTCCATGTGAAACATTTCAGATTTATGGCATAGAGGGCAAAGAGTAACTAAAGAGCAAGTAGATCAATTCCTCAACATTAAAGAAATAAAACAAAATGTGTATACACACACACACACACACACACACACACACTTTTCACATACATACATACATACATACATACATACATACATACATACATACATACACACATACGTGCATATATGTTTTTGCCTTCAAGTAACTAAATTCAGTGAGTCTATGAAAGTCACGTTTCTTCTTTTCAACTTAGTTATTGACACTGATTTATGTGATGGAACTATGGGCTGCTTCATTTGAAAGTCCTTTTATTGATTTTGCCACTGACATGGATTGTCATGCACACAATGTGATTTTTATACACACATAGGTTTATTGTTTCTGAAAATTTAATAAATCCCTAAGGTATTTGGAAATAAACAACTTCCACAATATTTTGTTACACTGTCGTGGACATGTTTGTACACTATTTAGAAAATAATTATACCAGTTAAAAGTTTTCTTTATCCTGGATGAGATTTCTTTCTTTCTCTCTCTGTCTCTACACTTTTAACAACAACAAAATTTAGAGATAGCATAAATCATACAAACTTCTGGATTTGTCCCCCAGCATTTTGTTTCTTGTCTAAAGCGCTGGAGGATTAAACATACATAGGACTGCAGCTGACCTTCATCCTCATTATGTCTATTGTCATTTTAAAGGTCATTGTAGAGTAGTCAGAAAAATAATTCGTGTGGCATGCTTTGCGTATCCTATTTGCAAAGTGTGAAAGTACATAACTGTCAAAGGGGAGAAGAGCACTTCTAGTTTAAGCAGATACTGTCATACTATTAACTAGAATCTAAGAAAAATGTCTGTTAATCAACTGATATACACTTCTACTCACACTATTTTCTGTAGAAAGTGTTTCTCTTGACAGGCATGAAAAACAGTCAGGCAATAGCTTATTGATTCTGCTCCGTGTTATCAGAAACCATGGCATTTGTTAAGTTCTGAAAAAGAATGATTTCCATTTTGACACATCTTGGCCTTTTTTGACGGATGGTGATCCTCCATCTATCTCAGGAAAGTGGCATATTGAACAAATCAAATTATACTCAATTGTATTACCAATGAAATCCATATGTTAGGCCTGAGGTAAATATAACATATTTAGCATATTTAGCATATTGCAAATACTATTAGAATACCCTTATTCTTCCTTGATGCATTTTACTTTTCTGCAATAATTAGAAATGCAGCTATGCTGTTGTCAAGCTTTGTAGCAGTAGTTTGCAAAAACACAATGGTGAATTATAACACAACCAAGGAACCAAAGCTTTTCCCCCCTTCTCAGACCTACCCCTATTAATCTTGTTTGCTTCTCCTGGATCCACAGATAAAAGATTAGATTGCATTCTTCTTTTTTAACTATCCTTAAAAACATCTTCATAATTGGCTAAATTTTGAGAATAAAGTCTAAAGAAGAAAAAAATCAGAAGTTAAAGAAGGTAGTCTTACTACACAGCTGATAAGCCAGTTTCTCCCAAAGCTAACCACAATATATTTCTTAATGTTCAGACATATAGTTTAAACAGTAGAAAATACAGTACATGTTATATGTTTCAGTAAACGGTTTCTCAGCATCTCCAATTTTTTTCTAGATCCATTTTGTGTGAAGCAGGTGGATCATTTCATTTTCTAAAAAGGAGAAGTCTGATTCAGGATAGGACAGAAAGAAATAGAGAAGTGGGGTATTATGGAAACGGAAACCATCTAATTAGAAGATAGCTTAGATACCTGGCTTTTTTTGCTGGATGGATCCATGGGTGAGATCCAATATCTCATCTGTGATTTGATAGGATTTATTTGCATATTTAGGAGAAAATGTTGACCACTGGCTCCAAAACAAAAAAAATACAAAAAATAGCATCACTAAAATAAAATTATAAGCCCTAGTGGTGCAATGGTTAAAATGGAGTATTGCAGGCAAAACTCTTCCTACAACCTGGAGTTTGATTCTGATGGGGCTCAAAATTGACTCCTTCCATCTTTCCCAAGATCAGTAAAATAAGGGCCCAGATTGTTGGGGGTAATATGGAAATAATGTTTCTACATTGTAAACCATCAAGAGAGTGCTGTAAAGTGTTATGGGGCAGTATCAGGGGTGGGATTCAATTTTTTTAACAACCGGTTCTGTTGGTGTGGCTTAGTTGGTGGGCATGGCTTGGTGGTCATGTGACTGGGTGGACATGGCTTGGTGGTCATGTTATTAGCTGGGCCTGGCCAACTCAATATCACTCACATTGAGGCACCATCTGCTCGCCTGGCCTCTCATGACTGTGTGGATGCTGTCATAAGTGTGAAAAATGGTCATGAGTCACTTTTTTTAGTGCCATTGTAAATTTGAATGGTCATTCCACACAAGCAAAGTACCAGCAAAGGAGGGAAAAAAGACTCCAGAGAAGTTCCAGAGACAGGAAGTCTAGTCCTGCCAAGAATGTAATAAGGGTTAACGGAGAGGCAATTTCTGTAAGCAACACCAGAATGTTTCCTTCCTGCCTTCCTTACAGGTTTAGGCCAGTAATTTCTTCTAACAACCAGTTCTCTGAACTGCTAAGAATGTTAACAACCGGTTCTAGCGAATAGGTGCGAACTGGTAGAATCCCACCCCTGGGCAGTATATAAGTCTAAATGCTATTGCTATTGCTAAAATTCAAGACACTGTTTTAATTGCTTTCTTGAAAGCAGTAGCAAAGGGACCAACTGCATTTCTGGGATCGGAAGTGTTCTAAATGTTCAGGAAGGACTGCCTTTGGGCTCATGTTCCCCTTCTTTTCATAGCACCAGCACTCTAACATCCTTTCCACTAAATATTATATAAGATGGGGAGAAACAATTTAGAGGAATCAATTTCTAAAATAACCGAGGGCTGGTGGTGTCTGATTTTATAGATTAAGTTGTACAGTTCGGTTATAAATTAAGATACTAGCCAAACTTGATATGTTACCCTGGAGATGTTAGTGAATAATATATTCCTGATACTACTAGATAGCATGATCAATTATAATAGATGCCAAGAAAGTTAAACATTCTGTGGCTCTCAGGTTTTCCCTTCACCACAGCATCAAGGTCATTATCTGACCCTGCTACTTTTCTAGCAAATCTTTGATATAGTGAGCACTTAGCTTTTTATATGGTTAATCGTTATGCTCAATAGCCTGGGGAACTCTTCAGAATGGTTAAACAATATAGAATGTTGGTAATAGCCTTTTTGGTCTAACAGCACAGAAGACCTCTGAATACTGATAACTCTAGTTAAAGTTAATGCCCCTTAGAATTTTAACATGCACTTCCTTGTCTAACCAAACATTTTAGTTCCAGAGATCTTATGCATCTTCAGAGATATAAACTACATTCAGAAGTTATGTGTTGCTTTCTAGTCTGTAGTAAGCTCAACTACCAGACTTTGAAAATTATTTTATGTTAAGGCATACAACTAAAAAAAAAATCTAAAACCAATTGTTTACCATTTACTGAATAGCTTTCCAAATCTTGGATCATGTATAATAGAATGTGTTTCATTAAAGTGGCAGGGAAATATCCTTTATGATGGGAGATTGAATAGTATCAAGAGTAGAGCTACAAAGACTTCCAGTAAAATGGAGATCTTCTATTACATAATTGGTTTTCCAAGAGATGTGGAAATAATACTTTGGACTGTTAAGGAAGAGTTCTGGTAAGTGGGTACTAATTATATGTTTATGCCAGAGGTGGTATTCAGCAGGTTCTGACCAGTTCTGGAGAACCGGTAGCAGAAATTTTGAATAGTTCAGAGAACCGGCAAATACCACCTCTGACTGGAGATTTTACAGTATCCTTTCCCTGCCACGCCCAGAACTGGTAGTAAAAAATAATTGGATCCCACCACTGGTTTATGCCAATTTTGGGGAGATAATATTCCTATAAAACAAGAAGTAGCCTTCTTCTTCTCTTCTGGATCAGCCAACTTCTGAAAAGCTACCTACCATCTGAGCTTCAATTACTGTAGCTTCAACTAATTGGGGGGGTGGGGAATGTGGAAGACCTGGGGAGCCTGGCTTTAAGTAAGAAATTACTTACAGTTCCTCATGAAGTGAGGATTTTTACTGCTATCAAATCAAATGGGGGATATATGGAGAATGATTTAAACCTTACATGTTCATTTGAATTTCTGATATTGTTATGAGAATTAACTGAAGATGAAGATAAAAAAGAAACACATATAAAAATATAATGATTTTTTTTTAAAAAAAGATAAAAGACCCTTGGTTGAATTTTGTCTGTATTAAGAGATTTAAGGTGAAACATGCAGGATAAATAATACAACTGTTGTTGCTGCTGCTAATGTGGCTTTTGTTCTTTGTGTTTTAGTGAAATGTTTTCGACAGCTCTTAGTTTTAGATCATTCCATGGTACTGCTCTTGACACCAGCCAGAAACTTCAGTTTGTCCAGAATTCAGTGGTGGGGGTAGTTATAGACACATCTCAAAATGTCCGTATAACACTGTTATTTCATGAGTTGCACTGACTTTCATTAGGCTTTTGGATATGATTCAAAGGGCTCGTTATCACTTTTAAAGTCCTATTTAGCATAGGATAAAGTTACTTATAAGGTAGTCTTCTTCCAATAATATCTATTCACCCACATCTTCCAAATGGAAAATGTGCTACAGTCCCTTATTTTAAATCTTATCATCGTATAGGGCCTAAGAAGGGTTCTTTCTCTCTCTCTCTCTCTCTCTCTCTCTCTCTCTCTCTCTCTCTCTCTGTGTGTGTGTGTGTGTGTGTGTGTGTGTATGCACACGTGCACTCCAGGTATTTGGGGCTAATTGAAGGAAGCCCCTTTTGATTGCTCTGTAATTATATTTTATTTATTTATGTTCTGTAATTATATTTTATATTATATTTATTTTGTATGTATGTGTGTATATATAGTTTCTATCATACATACATACATACATACATACATACATACATACATACATACATATGATAGAAACTAGTATAAAGTAAGAAAAAGAAAGAAAAGAAGGAAATCAAAGAGAGAGCTAACCGTACAAGAAAGGATAAAAAGCCAAAGAAAATAGAAAAAAAGATACAAAGATACAAATAAGTCATTTTCAATCTTTTTTTACAGCAGTTATGAGTACAATTATAAATTTATTCCTTACTCTATTGTTACAACATAACTCTATTCTTTCTATACTGTCTAATCATCAATGAGATAAATCATGAGTTCATTTATTTTTCCTGTTTTATTCAAAAAGTCTGTAATGAGATTCCAGTCATTTTTGTATTTAATGTGTTTGTATTATACATGTCTTAATATTGTATGGTTTTGAGGGGTGTGGAATTTTTGTTGTTTATTATTGTTTTTTGTACTGTATATTCCCCAGAGTCACATTGTTTAGATGAACTATAAAATAAAGATATATGTATAAAAGAAAGATATATGTATCTTTGCCCAAATAAAAAGAGAATTTATTCATTTGAAACATGTTTATGGGGAAAGACCACAGTCTGTGTATCAAGGGGAAAAATTGAATGACATTAGAAAACATTAGAAGTTAGAAAAGAATTTAAAGACATCAGAAATCATATTTTGAAAGTACATTACACTTGAAGGTTGCTTAATTTGTAATTTAATCAATACCATGCTTTCATTACTAAATATTAGTTCAAGCGTATTAAACCAAACTATTGAGAATAGGTAGGAGAATCTGGTAAACCACTAAATTCTTGAGGGAAGCAGTTGTTGTGGTTAGCCAGCAGCAGTGAGGAGGAGGTTCCCGAGGAGCCTGTGCTAAGTGCGAGTGAGCGCAGGATGATTCATAGAAGAGAACAGCTGGAGCAGCATAGGTGACTCGGAAGTCAGAATGCTAAGTAATGGCCCCTCCCTCCAGGGAATATAAGCCTGGTTTCAAAGGATTTTTGCTCTGTAGAAGGCAAAATGTTCGAAGGACTCAGCATTGTATGTAGAGACTCCGGCTTATCTGAAGAATTCTGTCAAGGTTTTTCTGGTTGGACTAATTGGCTGCAAGCCATCTTTTATCTACAAAGAAGTTTATTTGTAGATTAAATCTGTGAAGGTTTGAGTTACTGAGTTTGTCTATGTTTTCTCTCTGGGAACCTGGTTGGGTCAGAACAGCAGTAGAAAGATAATGCCTACTTAAGGAAAGTATTTGGCATAACAAATAAGAAATATCATGACATCAATTCCTAATTTGTGGAGTTTTACAAAATCATATTTTGTGAACCCAGATATACCATTGAACAGATTAACATAGTTGGAGGGGATCTTGAAAGTCTGCTAGTTCAGATGAATACCTTTTTAAATGGAATAAATCTCCCAAAATCAAAGGATTTAACTGCACTGTAATTTTTAAAATAAATGTGGAGTGATATAAAAATTGAAAGGAAAGCTTGTCTCTACTTTGTTAGAAATATAAAAGAAATATTTTGAAAAGAAATACCTTCACCCTGTATTGTACTTAAATTATAGCAGAAAAGACCCTATGGGTTGTGTGAGTTACTGTTTTATTGATGTTGATATAACAGTCACTTTGACATGAAGGCTAAAGCAGGCTATCCTTCAATAATTTATCCAGCATAGTCTGCCTTTTTGAAAAGATGTCAACCCTTCAATAATATTAACATTTTTGTACATGTATTTGCATGATGTGCCAATAAAAATGAAATAGATGTTTTACAAATAGATCATTAGATGAAGAAAAAATGGTTTTCATATAGAGTTTTCAGAATATGGCTATAAAAAAAATTCCTTCCTGTAGAAATTTCTTGCATAAAATTTATTATTTTAATTCTGCTGCAAGGGTAAATACTAGTGGGATTATCTCTTTTGTGATCAAATGGAGAAGTGGAATGCATCAAGGCTCATTTTAATTCCTTTAATGTTTAATTTTACAATTAATAATACAATCTACTGAATCAGAGGAACTCATGGAGCAGAAATAGCAAACAATATATGCAGATGATATACGAAGATGAAGGCAATGGTTTGCATAATGATAATCAAGATTTGTCAAACTATTACAACAGTAGAAAATAGACAATAAATTATAGTAAATCTAATATAATGCCAGTCAGTAAAACACCTATAGATATTTGTGAAAAAATAGCCTTTATTTGTTGTCCTGGTTCTAAACACCAGGGCAGTCATTATTCCTGAAAAAGAGTTTGTTTAATGGAAATAAATACTGTATATAAAATTGTATTATCAAAATAAAAGGGCCATTTTGGTGTAAGTTAAAGCACAAGGCTAAAACCAGAAAACTGTGAGTACTTTTCATGTGTTAGGTATAATGGAACATCAGTACCTTTGCTATTGTCAAACAGTTACTCTTCTTAAATAAGGTATCATCACATTCTTGAGAAAGCGAAGGTAAAGTACTGATGGATTGTGGAATTATGTTTCAAATACTTGGAATTTGTCTTTTGAATGAAGAATTATGTGTATGTTTGTGTGTGTGTGTGTGTGTGTGTGTGTGTTTACACACACACACACACACACACACACACACACACACACACAC